TACTTTAAATGTATTATTTATCACATTATTTCTTTAATTTGCAATTACTATTTTTCAAAAAATTGTTGCGGACTGGATATCAAAATACTTGCATCTATTGGAAGACATCATGAAAAAAGGAAGCCTCTATTTTCTGGTGTTAAAATAGGCATAATCTTGTATAGTTTTAATGATAGGTTCATCCTCCTGATTAATTGTAAGCATTTAATAAGTAGGAACAGACAGATGCAGGCAGTTGTCTGGCCTTCCCACTCCAGTCTGTGTGTGTCAAGCCCAGGGAAGAGAACAGTCAACTTTATTTTATGACTATTTTAATTATCTACCAATGGAGCTGGGTAGTTAATTAAAACAGTCATTAAATAAAGTTGACCGTGGAAACCAAATGATTCAAAATAAGCAGAGCTTGAGATATATTTCAAGCTTTCTCATCATTCTAATCCTCTTAACATCAATAACACAGTTCTAAATCTGAAGGCATGAATTGTGGCACAACTGTTGCAAATTACAAAACAGCTTATATTTGAAATCTTAAGATTGACAGCTTCAATATGAGTAACAAACAGACAGCAACCCTTTAAAGTACAGCGGTTACTATATGTACCATGTGGTTCAATATTAACTAAACTGCATTTCATTTCGTATGATTCTCAGTGTGTACAGGAATTACTTCCTGAGACGTCTTTGTAGCACAGGCATACTGGTCTTCCTAAGGCAGGAACTGAATTTTTAAAAATTACTCCACATCAGCAATGATACTGATCAAAAATTTCTCAATCAGATATCAGTATACAGTAACTTGTTAATGCAGAAGGCCATGGTAGAGCAGATGAACAGTTGCCATTTAGATAAAATACTAACATGTGGATGTAACCTTTGTGCCTTTATACACTCTTGGTGACAGTTTCATAACACCACGCATGTACATGCGCTCACAGCTGTGAATAGGTTATTTCAGGCTTTGAAGCGTTAATGTCTGAGAGCGTAGGCAATTGTCTCTTACATACAATTGGTTATCACATTCTGACAAGTGACATCTGAACATGTAAACATAACAGAATGGAAGAAGACTAGTAAAGAAATTATTGTAAACAATTGTAAACATCTATAAATATATCAAGAATGCAAAAGTACATCTCTAAGTTAGCGCAGTATGCTTATCGTTCTCGCAACCTCATTTGTTCTTTTTATGAAGAATTTTCTTCAGGTTTTTTGACATGAAGTATGGTTTCTCTGCTGAGCTGTCATTTCTCTCTCAGTCTTCCACTGCAAAAGAAAGTAATTTCATTCTTATTTCAGTAAAATATATGGAGATAAGTCAGATGGTTCTGATTCTATTCTAAACACTCCACAGTATGCAGCAACCTTCTACACTTTTTGGAGGTCCCTGGCTCAAATCTTGGCCAGGACACTGGCTATACTGAGGATTTCATAGTCTTCCTTAGTCACACGAGACAAATGCTGGAATAGTGCCTCTGTAAGATCACAACTACTTCCTTCCTAATCATCAGTAACCTACCTTTCTACCATCTGATGCTATACAGTGTGATATAGAAAGCATCATAAAAAAACCATGAAAGAATGTCTTATAGTGTCGTTCATAACTGCAAGAGTGAACAAAACTATGCTGTCACACGTTGGGGTGACCTAAGATGGGGTTTGGATTGGATGATTGGATTTATTGCACCTCATACATCCACGCAGTTCAAGGTTATAGGTAACAGCTATCGCTATTCTACACACTTTCCAGTTCACTGCTGCACACACACTAGGGTTCTCAGTCCTCATTAGTCGTATTCTGGCAACAGATTCTTCACAGTTTGACTGTAACTTCAAACTGCACATGGAGTCTCTTATTCACCACCTCATTCCAATGCACAACGTGCGGCTGCAATCCCCAAGTTTTACCAAACATGTTTCTGCATGTCGAAAAAGACTTATAGGCTTTGTTAATGACCTTGTCCAGCTGCTTTTTCCGTGTCAGACCCTAGTCTATTTCTAGACCAAGGTACTTGACATCGCTGGAGAGCTGGACTGTCTTATTGAAGTGAGTCGGTTCCATAAGGCCCTTTATATTTCTCTTCCTAGTAAACAGTATAATTACCATCTTATTGGGATTGATGGAAAGACTTGTTCTTCCACACCATCACTGGACCATGTAC